GAACGAGCATGATATTGTACAGTACCACAGAAAAAATAAATATGAAACAAAAAGGATCTTTGATATACTCTCCATTGTTGAAGCACAGCATGGTCATTTTTTTGTTCTGTCTTCTGTTCATCTTTGAGACTGTGTCAGCAGAGCTGTACAGGTGTGACAGAGGCCCACAAAGACTACAGTATTAGCCATCATGTACTTTACTAAGTTTCCCACCTTTTCTCTTGATATGTCACAAAGCATGCCATGTGGATTGAACATTTACTACAAAGCTATTGTTGGATATTACATTGTTCAAGATATTAGATTCTACACTCTGTTAGGACTTAGAACCAATGAAAAGTGTCTTTCTCTTCAATTGATCTTTTTATGCTGTTGATAATACCTAATACAGACCCATTTCCCTGTCATCCTGCCTGCCAGAGTCCTCTAATCCATGGGCTGTTTAGTCACAGCAACTCTGTAGTCCACACAGGTTCATTGCTATTGTCATTCCTAAGGTTGCTGCATTGCACAGATGTTATTCCATTAGTATGTTTCCATAAGATGCACCAAGTCCTTACTATTTTTCTTCTCCCTTTATTTGTTGAAAAAAATGGGAATTCTTAAGGGAGGAATTAGTTAAAAGGGAGAGCTTTTTCCCACATTAAAAAAAAATGGGAGACACAATGACAATAGAGAAAGTTATGTCTCTATATGATTACATAATGCATGATTTAAAGATGGAACAATTTAATGAAGGGATTATGAACTTAACCAGTATTGACATTCTGTTAATTATTACTTTGATAATCCTTGTTTCCTTTCTGATAATTCTTGGTTTATCTCTTTAAAAGTTTTTTGGTTTGACTGCCAAGATACAGGCCTTAGAAAACCTTAATAAAACATATCATAGATATATTCAGATATAGACAGAAGAATTTAATAGAGAACAAATCTCAGCATTACATTTTAAGGTTACAGAGGAACAGCCTACAGTTTTCAAACAATCAACCTTAATATATCCAGTAACCTTATAGGAATTTCCAAGTGATAGAGGCTCTGTGAGAGCTAATTGAACTCCTGTGTCAATATAAGATTTAAGGAGATTCAATGAAACTATAGTCTTATTTGGCATTATTCACGGTTTGTTTAGTATATATTAAACTTGTGGTCAATTTGTATATAAAAGTATCCCTAAAGACTAGATATACTTGATCAAAGCTGTTTAGAGCCTGGTCTACAGTTACAATTGAATACCTGGTTCAGAGAAAAGACTAAACTATTGAACTATGGAGTAAAGATAAAGGTGTGGAAATCTGCCAAGATCAATTTCTTGGAGAAGGAGATTTTGCTACTAAGGAAAGGCAGTGCCCTGGCTTTATGCTGAGCAGCAGCTTTGATTGCTTAGAACAGAATTGGAGATGTAGGAAAGAAAAAGTGTCATTAACTAAAGTTATATAGGTTTCAAAGGAAGCCTTTACAGATTTCTTACTTCAGCGGTAAATTGAATGATATAAAATTCAAAAGGTAGACAAATAATAATTGAATCTCTGAAAACACTAATATTTAATGCAGAAGGATAATTAGGCCATTAAAGGCAAGGTCAGCACACTTGGATCCAAGATATACTAAATATTAAATCTTATGACCATGATGATGATTAGATAGGAGAGATGATTTCCAGAAATTTGAGGAAAAATCAAAATGTCAAGTGTTAAGATTGTGGGGAAAAAACATCATCTTAAAAGGGATTATAAACTGAGAATTCTGAGAAACAATGTTTTTTTTCTAAGCATAATCCAAACATAATGCCCCTCCCTTCTGGATTATGCAGATAATGTGGCAAAGGTAGGCATTGGACTAATGAATGTAGATCAGCAAGAAATATTCAAGGTAACCCTCGATCACCAGGGTATTCCCTTGAAGAGCCTCTTTCAGGCCACTATGTCAAATCCAGTTCAGTTTTTTTCCTGCCATCATAGAGGAAACTCTTTCCAGAGAAATTAATTAAAGAACTTAATGACTATTTAAAAAGCCACACTGCTCTCAATAATAGAACCATTATGGAAGAGACATCAAAAAGTTCAGGAAAAACCATAAAGCAAGAATTTTGCCAAGTTTCTATAAATGAACAAAGATCAAAATCAAATGAATAAATGACATTGTCATTGAAGGTCTGGCAGACACAGTTGGGGATGTAACAATACTTTCACAAGAATCTTGGCATCCAAATTGATATCTTCAGGAGATAAATGTTAAGCTTTTAAAACTCAGACAACAGGAAGTCCTGTATATGTATTGCCATTGGTTAATAAAAAAGCTGCTTTTGGCCAAAGGCTTAACAGAGTAAAGTCGGATGGGAACTCCAAACAGAGATGTAGAGAGAAAGTAGGTGGAGTCAGAGAGAAGCCATGTAGCCAGTGCAGGAGACAGATGCCACATGCCAGACTGAACCTTATCGGTAGGCCACAACCACGTGGTGATACATAGATTAATAGAAATGGATTAGTTTAGGATATAAGATCTAGCCAATAAGAAGCTAGAGCTAATAGGCCAAGCAGTGATTCAATTAATATAGTTTCTGTGTGGTTATTTCGAGTCTGGGCAACCAGGAATGAGCAAGCAGCCTCTGCCAACAATAAACTGATTACAAAATTAAAAACTTACATGGAAAAAATTCTGAGTTAATTCTAAGAGAAAAATTAGGACTTCATCAATTAGCAAGAATAGACCCAGCAGAAATTATAGTATCTTTTAATAATGATGAAACTGACAAATTATGAGCATAAAGTGAACCCTGGCAAAGAGCTTGTAATAATTTTGGAGAGAGAGTAACAACAAATATCCCAAAAGGAAGAGAATTTATCTTATAAATCAAACTAGCTGTATCTACCTCACATTGTACAGGAAACACCAATAACTGGAAACCCTGCATTCTATACTAATGCAAATAAATCATTAAAGGCAAGCTACAAATCAAAAAATTTAAGTAAAGTGGATCAAAACCCTTCTGATTCTGTCTAAAATCAGAATTATATGCTATTCTCATGATATTAAGAGATTTTAAAGAACCTTTCAACATAGTTATCGATTTGTAATATGCAGATAGGGTTGTTTTTCATATTGAAAATGCTGAATATATTTCAGATAATACAGAATTGACTTTACTATTTATTCAGTTACAATATACAATCAGGAATAGAAATCATCCCATATACATAACACATATCTGATCCCATACATGTCTACTGGGTCCTCTAGCACAAGATAATGCAGAAATCGATCAATTATTGATTGGAGATGTGCTGAAGGTCTCAGAACTTCATAAAAGCCATGTCAATAGCAAAGATTTAAAAAGACATTTTTCATTACATGGCAACAAGCCAAGGAAATTATAAAGAAATGCCCTGCTTGTTCTTTATACAACCAAACACCACTACTACCTGCAGGAAGTAACATTAATAACTATTCAGGTTTTCAATGGGCAATTGCTTTGAGTTTGGAGAAGTCTGATTCGGTAAAAGGGTAGATTATTGGATCTACTCTGAAAAGAAAAAGGGAGGATATAGATATGATAAGATAAAAAGATAAATTACTGAATCTACTTTTAAAAAGCAACCATTAGTTTTAAATATTTTACATTGGATTGGACTTTTGCATAATGTATACAAAGTTTATATATTGATACAAAATTAAGATTAATTTTGTTAAAGCATATTGTTCATATGTTTCTTATCTTGTTCAAAGTATTGTACTTATACAGTTCATGTAACAATGTAATGCAAATTTCTAGTCCTTGAAAGTTATTATTACCAACTGTTTAGGAAAATAAGAAAATGCAGGGTAGTAATTAAACACCTATTACAATTAAACTTGTAGCCATATTAGGTATGTTTTCAAGGTCAAACAGATATATTTTAAATAGACAGATCATCTTCAAACACTTCAGAGATCTACAGAATAGGCATTTAAGATTTCTTAATATCATAGGTTCTTTTTTTTAATGACAATGGCCCATGCCCACTCCTGGCAGCACCAATCTACTTAGAGAAGACAATGGGCATCGAAAAACCTCCACATAGAGTTTGTTTTCTCTGTGGCAAAAGTAAGCCACTGGGCAAAAAAATGTTTTTGCCTTGACTTCTGACATTATGCTGTCCTAATTGGACAAGCAGGACACAAAAGAGTGTGACTATCAAACATTTTCAAGACAATGCAGGATAGTACTTCAGACCTCTACTTCATAGAAAAGCCTTCCGAATATTCTAGGCCTTTAGTCTAAAGACTGATGCCCCAACATTGTAGAGGAACTTTGAGTGACTTTCCAGGCAGCCAGTGGTTTCTGTAAATCTTTATGCTTTTTGGAAGTGACTTCCTTGCACTTCCTGTTTACTCAGCTAATACTGTTTTCTTCTCAGGTCTCTGAGGTAGCTGAGGACTAGATAGAGTTTTCCTTGTTTATGAGACTGAGAAAAGAAATTCACTAAAGAAATGTAAAGTATACAGTTTTGGATGGTAATGCAAGTTATGGTGGAAAGTAAATTAGGTACAAGACTTTGAACCCACCAAGATAGACTAGATAATGAAGTATTTTCTCTGTATTTCTCAAATGCAAATGGACTAGACATTGTTATTATACTTACTACCTGTATGTGTTATATATAGTTATTGTACTTATTGCATACAGTTTTTCTTATATAAGTTATAACTTTTTTATATTAGACAATAGAGGAAATATTGTGATATTTTGTTTGTGATCTAGCAAATAAAGCTTGCCTGAAGATCAGAGTGCAAGGTAGCCACACTAGTTATCCACAGAAGTTGAGCAGTGGTGATGCACACCTTTAATACCAGCACTAGAGAGGAATATAAGGCAAGATGAGACAGGAACTCGCTCTCTTTTCAGTCTGAAGATTTCATAGAAGTAAGAGTTCTCTAGTGGCTTGGTTGCTTTTTCTTTTTGATCTTCAGCTTGAACCCAATATTTGTCTCTGGGTTTTTATTATTTATCCTACACTTACCTTCATGTCTGAATTCATAGTCCTCAGGTACCCTTTTATCAAACTTCTTCTTTAAGACCCAAAAGTTTCTCCAAGACTCATGATCTGTGCTAAATAGCTCCAAGTCTTCTGTCCATTCAAGGGACTGCATGTAGGGTGTGCTTGAGGATCTGTGCAATGAGGAAGGATGGCCTATGGGAAAGAGACAGTGGTTGTGTATTTGTCAGAGAGGCAGTGGTAGACACTAAGCAAGCAAGGCTGTGGTCCTTTCTGTTTATCCTCATACCTTTGTCTGTAGTCTCATGGGGAGAAAGAAATTCTTACAAGTGCTGCTGAGAAACAGTCCTGCTCTGGAACCATGAAGTTCACATATCTGTCCTGGCTCAACACTATTCCTTTGAAGGAGTCTCTATTCCTCTCTGAGCCTCAGCTCCCTCCTGTGGGTCTCTAAGCTTCTGTTCCAGATGGTTACAAAGTATAATAATAAGAGTAGCAGCAATTGCTTAGGTTTTTGCTTGTAAGTATTAAACATTTATTGGACATTAGACTATTTAATATCCTATGTGGATTATCATTTTACTCTCACAGCTCTAGAAGACTGCTTTTACCTTACCATTTCCCAGATGGAGACAATGAGGAAGGCCATAGTCTGCCTCTGTCCAGCTCCAAAGTCTGGACTTGTAATTTCAGTCACTGAGTGCTTCTTTTGGGAGCTAGCTTGAACCCTGTGAGAGCTCTCTCTCTCTCTCTCTCTCTCTCTCTCTCTCTCTCTCTCTCTCTCTCTCTCTCTCTCTCGTTTTTTTTTTTTGAGATAGAGTTTCTCTGTGGCTTTGGAGACTGTCCTGGAACTTGATCTTATAGACCAGACTGGCCTCAAACTAACAGAGATCCACTACCTCTGCCTCCTGAGTTCTGGGATTAAAGGTGTGTGCCAGCACCACCCAACTATGTGTGAGCATTCTCAGAGCCCTTTTTAATGACTGCCTCTCCCCACTACAGCATCTAACTGTTTCTCCCCCAGGGTTGTCAGGACCGTATGAGGGCCTGAAATGAACTGATGTAGAAGACCATGTGGCTTAGCCTTATGCAAAGCTTCCTGTTCCAGACTCTCCTGGGAATGTGAATCCAGGCTAAACAGAAGTTTAGCCTGCCCATGGAAACCCTGGAAGGAGGGCTCAGTGGTGAAGAAGGGGTCACAGAAATGGTGGGTTGGGGTCTCTGATGTACTTACTTAACTTCAAGTCATCCTGTGACAGATAATGGGGACTTGGCACCTTTGGGATCTTCAGGCTCCTAATGTGGTGGGAGGGGTTCAAGACTTGTTGACCCTTATGCTGAGCCTCCTCTATGTCATGGGCTTTCTGAGACCAAGCACTTCCTGTGTTGGTAGTGCCTTCAGACAATGCCTGGCTATGCAACTCTTGCCCATATGCGTCTCCCTTCTGTGGTTGTTCCAAGCAGGAGGCCAGCGGGTTTTTGTCTCTGCCAGCCATTATGTGCTGGGAAAGGGTGTTTGACTGGAACTGACAGAGGAGGGCTGGAAATAAAAGAAAGAGTGGAGCAGCCTCTATAGGGACAAATTGTCCTTTGGTCAGAACAACTGAAAATCTCCAGTCTTTTCTGGGGATGGAGACTGTGTGTGTTCAGGTGCAGAGCTTGGGCTTTATAGGTCAGCAGAGGGAGCTCTGCAGAGTAAGGTTATCTATCATCGGATGTGTTCCTTATAGTTTCATGAATGATGCCAGTGGATGTTCTTTTACTGTGCTGACTTTCCTGTCCTGCAGGAGTGCTGTTATGCTGAATTGGGGGACTCTCAGCTTTTCTAAGTTTTCTTTTTTTAAGTAATTAAGGTAATTTATCTGACCCTGAGGACAGATAAAAAGAAGAGGTGTAGTCTCTCCTTGACTGTTTCCTGTTGGAGGGGGATGACGGAGGTGGTGATAGGCTCTTTCCCTAAAGCTTAAGAAGATATAGGTCGTGGAGTGACTTCATGAACCAGGGGAAGAGTTTTAACTTGATCTGCCACCATGGATCCTGGGATTACGACCATTCCCTCTTGGAGAAACCTGTGAAAACATTATTAGACAGAGGTTACAGTGAGTAAGATGAGACCGATGACAGGGGACCCAGTAAGCTCCTTGGTAGGGTAGTCATTGTCCTAATGTAATTTGATCTAGGAGGAACTTTTGTAAAACTTTTAAAAGACATGGTAAATTGGAGGTGTAAGAATAAGGAGGAATGGAGAGATCAAGGGGAGGATCCAGAGTGGGAGGGAACAAAAGCACATCCTTAGGAATATGACTGTCACTGAATCTTTGTATGGCCCTTAATTAAGTCTTGGGGCCCTGTCAACCAGCTTGGGTTTGTTGGTGCAGAAGCAGCGCTGTCCCTGGAGGAGGGCACAGTTCTACCACCAGCAGCAGACAAGAGATCTATGTTTCTAACTTTGAAGAACCACAGCAATGAAGACTTGGCCCAGGCCTAGCCATGGAAAGTGATGGAGATGGGGAATGTGAAGGTGGCATCTGGAGAGTGGAGGGTGGGGAAATGGAGGGATGGGAAAGCAAGAGGATGGAAGGATGCAGGGCATGAAGCTTGATAGCTAGGAGGATTAGAGGATGCTAAACAAGGGTGAAGGGTTAGGGATGGAGGAAAGGAGTGTTGTGAATACAAGAGCTGAGAGGATATGGAGACAGGGATGGAGGATGCAGGGATGGAACGTGCAGGACACTCACTGCTCTGTGTTCCTCGGATTCTTCCTTTTCTAGTGTCCCACTCTAAGGAGATCAATCCTTCAGCCATTACTGTGGCAGAGGGTGGAGTTGGGGAGATGCTGCACAGAGGAGGAGTCAAGAGCTTGGTGTGAGTTCAGGCTAGTCCCCGTGAAGGAATCTTTAGAAATCTTTTGTCCCTGATTGTCTCACAGGAGGAACAAGCCAGAGACAACTAAGCTGGAAGGATAAATTTCTCAGAGGAAACCAAAGAGCCACGTGGAAAAGTGGGGGGAGCCAGACAGATCCAAGACTTTCCCAGAGCTCCTAATAAAAGGACAAAAAGACATTAGTTCTGTATCATTGTCCAGGAGTGCACCTGGCAAGAATGGTCTGACATTGGAGCCAGTGCCTAGGAGGATGCTGTGGCTTCCAGGGATCTCACTCTTCCCCCTGGGCTGTGGTTATCAGTTCTAAGGCAGCTTTGTCTGAGGGATCCTATGTTCTTTCTGCCAACATTGTCTGACTTAGCTTTCTTTTGACATTAGCCACTTTCCCCTGCAAATAGTTCATATGATATTGTACTTTTGAACAAATTGCATGGGATAAGTTATCATTTAGGCAAGTCCTGCTGGTCCCATGGATTGCTTTTGTCTTCTTTATTTCTCATCCTCAGGCTTCCCACTTAACACCTTCCTGTTCAGGACCCTTATTCCTGCAGCTTCATGACAGACAGGAGAGAGGAGGGTGCAGGATAGGCTATGACAGGAGCAGACACATGAAGCATACAGGGAAATCCAGGGACCTTCAGCCCACCAGAATTGGCCTGCAGATTCTCCAAGCAGAGATGGAACCTGGGCCCTGGCTCTCAGGACTGTCAAGTTGGGGACATAGGCCCCAGCCCCTCACATTTATCCCAGCCCCCAGGCCTGGTCGGGACTCCAAATCCCAGAAGGCCAGGTCCTGACACCTCCATGGGGGTGGGGTCAGGACCACTCCCCAGGGTATTTAAATGAGCCCCCAAAAGAGGAACACATGATTCCTCTTCCTTCCTGGTTCCCCCTTGGGGCCACCAAGAGTGCAGAACTTCCATTAAACCTGGATACTTCTTAATTTGGCTTGTTTTGATTTGGCTTGATCGGGAATTTTGTGTTAGAGGGGAGCTCACATTTGGAAATATTCTTAACATTTTGGAGGTCCCACCCAGCTAGGGCAGGCCTTTCCACTTGCTGGCCGCATGTTGAAAGCCCCCTAGTCTACAGTCTGAGCTCTCCATGCCATGCTTAAACTGGCTTCTGAGCTACAGCGGCTGCATTTTGGTGAATCCCTTTTCTTGTCTATGCTATAGGGTTTGGGGGGGGCATTCATACTTATTTTTGTCATTTTTTGGATTCCTGTTGAAGTCATGAGCTCTCGCCAGGGGTCCGATTTCCAGCGGCGGTCAGACCCATGGGACCCGGGCAGAGATCTGTTTGTCTTGGGACATCAGGCATTCAATCTCCATAGCCTCATTTGGACCTAAGAGCTATTTTGGTGGACACGCTGGAGTGGACTTAGGTCACATAGTTGGGCATAGACTTTAAAATGGGTACTTATGGTTCAAAGCCAGGTCCACTGTTGCCTCTGTAATGCCTCTTACAAAAATCTTTTTAAATTGAGCCTGTCTGATACCAATGAACAGAGCTTACATATGTCCACGGTTTTTGGTCTCTGCACTCCCCCCCCTCTTAGTAGCCAGTTTCTCACAGCACCATACTGCCAGAGGCACTGGCCCCTCCCCACTCCCTCAAGCCCAAACTTCCCAACCCCCTCCTGTGGAGCAACATTCTTTCCCCTCCCTTCCCAATTTGGAGGTTCAAGGTCAACTTCCACCTTCCCCTCCCACTCCTACCTCACAGCCCCACTCCTGGACCCCCTCTGTGCACTGGGCTAGCCCCTCCCTTGCTCCCTTTTCTCTTCCATATCTCTCTCAGTTAAAAAAGCTGCTAGGTTCCTTTTCTACTATTCCTTCTGCTTACCCATTTTATCTCTTAGTCAGTACCAGATATTAGAAAATAGTTAAGAAAGGTTGAGGAGGGTCCCCAAACTCCTATACAAGAATTGATGAAAATGGCCTTTAAAGTTTTTAATGCCCAAGAAAAATCAGCTGAGTCTTCCCGACAGACAAAGCTACAACAATCTACAGGCCCAGGCCTTTGCAGCTGCCCTAAGGTCATAGGAATGGGGACAAGGGAAGTTAACCACAAGGCTCTACCCTGATAGAGCCCAGGCTAAGTCAACCTCATAAGCAAACTGTTTGAAGTGTGGCCTAAATGGTCACATGGCACGATATTGCACTACACCTGCTCCGAGGTTGTGCCCTACCTGCCAGCCATTTGGACACTGGAAATCACAATGCCCCCATGCGGGCTTGTCCTCTGTGCTAAGCCACGGAGGTCCGGCCTCATCACCATCGGCAAGAGAAACTGTGCCAGCCCTCAAACGTCTCAGCCTTGCAGAGGATTGATGCTGCCCAGACTTGGTTGATCCTGTAACCCTATCCAAGCCTATGGTGAAGCTGCAGGTAGTAGGTAAGTCCATTACTTTTATTCTTACTTGGGCCTTAAGTTTCCCTCACCAATTTCAGCTATGGGGGTAGACGGGACCTGATCCTCCCCACTTAAAACTTTACCACTGCCTTGCATATTTGCAGGACAATTTTTTTTCTCTCATTCTTTCTTAGTGATACCTGCTTGCCCAGCACCTGCACGGGGTCGAGCTACCTTTAGCTTCTTCCCCAAAGCTTTGTTCTGCTTCTTGGAGACCCTTAACCCCACCCACCTCCAAGATTCTATTTTACAGGTTCACTCCTCCTGCCAGATGTGTGCCCATAAGGGACTCTCCACATATGTCAGTTTTTACACCAGCTTCGTAGACACCAACTGGGCAAAGATTGGCAGGTTAATTTCACTCATATGCCTACTCATAAAAAAAACCCTCCGTTATCTCTTAACACTTGTGGACATTTTTACAGAATGGATAGAGGTGTTTTCGGTCTCCAGAGAAACAGCAAATATTGTTGCTCAGGGTCATGGAGCTCATGCCAAAAGCTCTCAACACCTTTTGGACAATGGGACTCATCAAACAACAACTAACCAAGCTCTCCATTGAACTCAGGTTATCTTGGCCCTCCCTTCTTCCCCTTGCCTTTACTTGCCTGCCTGAGCCCTTTTGATGCTTTATGGCAGGCCCTTTCTCCTTAACCATCACCTCCCAGTCCAAACTCCTCCACTGGCAGGGTACCTACCCTATCTCTCCCTTTTAAGGTCCCTTCTCCATTCACATGTTGATAGTTGTATCCCTGCCACCACACCAGTGGACCCTAATGCCCCTAAACCTTCCCCACTCTCCCCATGAGACAGAGTACTCCTCAAACAGTTAATTCCTAGGTCTCTTGAACCTCGATGGACAGGACCTCACATGGTAATCCTCACCACCCTCTCGGCTGCCAAGCTCTTGGGACACCCATGCTGGTACCATCTCTCCAGGCTCATGTGGGTGCCTACTCAAGACACTTGGTCTGTCCAGCAGACAGGACCTTCCACCTTCCAGTTTTCCAGGATGCCAAATAAAAAACCTACCTGCTCCTTATTCTGGCACACTCATCTTTAGTGATAACAATTTTTTTCCTAGACACCTGCTTTCTTATCTCCCCCAAGGAACAGATGCCTGCCATCTCTGGGATGACAGTTCATGGGATGCCTCTCCAGCCACACCTCTTGCTGAACATGGACACCTAGCTCTTCCATTCCATATGCCACCCCGTGCATGCAGAAAGTAGCCAGATTTGAGTCTTTGCCCTTTTTTCCAAAGAGAGCCTAAGTGTTTGTCATAATTACCACTTCAAATTTCACCCCTATATCTAAAGAGTCTGGAATGTTAAGTTGGGACTGTAGGTCCTAGCCTCTCCCATCTATTCCAGCCCCCAGGCCTGGTCTGGACTCCAAATCCCAGCAGGCTAGATCCTGACTCCTCCCTGGGGGTGGAGGTCAGGACCACTCCCCAAGGTATTTAAATGAGCCCCCAAAAGAGGAACAAGTGGTCCCTCTTCCTTCCTGGTTCCCCCTCGGGGCCACCTGAGCGCGCAGTACTCCCATTAAACCTGGATATTTCTTATTTTGGCTTGTTTTGATTTGGCTTGATTGGGAATTTTGCGTCTGCAGGGAGCTCATGTTAGGAAATATTCCTAACAAGGACAAGGTCCCCCATGTCTGCCGCAGTATGCCGTAGTGCAGTCAGACCAGCACTTATCTTCCCATAACTCAAATAGTTCGGTGGAGTCTGTTGGTCCCACTACTCACCCTGCTCTTTTAGGGGGCTCTCTGATGCATGCTTCCCTGGCCAAGGCTTCTCAGCTAGTAAAAGCAGCTTTGAAAGTGAAAGAGACCCAGCTCCTCCAGGAAGCCAGGCAGGCATCAGAGTCTGCGCAGATGGCAGATGGTCTTCCTCTGAACCCTGTGAGTGGAGGTTGAGCATTGTTCAACTGGGTTTCCTGTTGTGAATTCTCTGCAGAAGCCTGGGCTGGAGGAGTCAGCTAGAGAGCTTCAGCCAAGTCTGCAGAGGCCCCGCCTGCTGAGTTCAGGACTCAGGTCTGAGCCTCACTTCTTTCATCCAGTAAAGCAGGGTATCCCAGGTTTGCCACCAGGTTCCAGTTCAGCAGAATCTCCTGGAGCTCCCAGGTTTGTGTTCTGGATCTCTGGACTCTCTTTCCTCCCTGTAGCCTGCCCAGCCCACAGGCTCTTCATTTCAGGAAGTGGTTCTTAGGCACAAACCCTGTTTATTTTTTACAATTCTGAAGTCTTGTGTGGATGTTTTCGGTGCATTTGGAGTTGAGTGCACTACAGGGTGAGAGCAGAGGAAGGTTCTTTACGCGCAGACATCCAGTTTATCAGCAACACTTGTTAGCAAGACTCTCTTTGCCAGTGAATAAATACTTTAGTCACCAATGAGTAGTTTTTGCTCGTCTTTACACTTTAAAACAACAACAACAACAACAACAACAAAAATCCCTTATTTTTTATCATCTGAAACTTTTTCCATCCAAAACATTGTTATTCAATAAATTGTTTTAACCTAAGACATATGTGGCAAGTTATTTAAGACATACATTAAAATAATCTCAGGCAATGTTATTATAGGATGAAAACCTTGCCAGAACACATGATTACCTTAAAAAAAAATCACTGCTGGATTTATAAATCTTAGTCTGTTTTGATAAGGTGTGATTTCAGAAGTTTGAAAACTATACTCTTGCTACATTTTTAATTTCTCCTGAACTGTTTATAACTTAAGAAAAGAAAATAAACATCAAATAAAATTTAAAAAAATTAAATTTCTCGAGTTTAAATAACCTGAAAATATGTTTGGAAAAGCAGTTTATGTATATATTTTCACACTTAGTTTGAATCTGCCATCTAGTGTATAGTCTCATTTGCATATACTGAGTTATTTGTTGACCACAACTGTGGTGTGACTTTTCTGGGTAGATGTAAAATTAACATCTGCCCTAACTTCTGCCCTTTCCACTGCCCAAAGACTGCCTCATTAAGTTCATCTCAATGAATAGAAATGAATTTGTTAGGGATTACTCATAGAGCAATGGGAGACCACAGGAATTTGCATGGACCCCTCTCCTGAAGATGCCACACTCTCTCTTACCCAGCTCCTTTTACCTTGAGATCTGTCTGCCCCTGGAGTCATGGAATCTTTGATTCCTAGTGCAACTTAGTGTGAAAGCAGCAGAGGAGACCCCAGGCTAACTATATGTTCATGTATAGTCAGTCAGTCTGCCCACGCCCTTGTCAGGGGCTCTGCTGTAGGGCAAGCACTGTCCGTATTGGAAACGTTCACTTGTTTCACTGAAGTCATGCATGTTGGGAGCCTCAGTCAGTCTTGCTGCAAGATGGAGGTGATGAGGATTCAGAGGTCTGTGTCATTCACCAGCTGTGCCCTGACCAAGCATGGCTGCCGTAACTGGAAGGACCCCCTGCACACGTGTTAAAGTAAATCCTTCACGGCCATGGATTGTAATGCAACCATGAGCCTGTGGCAGCTTCTGCCACGAGACCTATGGACAAGAGTATAGGATCAAGGGCTCACACTGTGATGAAGAGTGATAAAGAAATTGCTGATGGACTTCTAGGATTTGCTAATCTTGACAATACAGTGTTGCAAGATATCACAGTTTAAAATTGCACCATAAGAAGAAGGATACAAAATTAGACCTGATATCACTAAATGGAAATTATGTAACAATGCTGGTTTCTGGAGAAGTAGAACCTGAAGGAACAATGGATATCCTTAGACTATGGTTTCTATTAAACTGTTAATATTTAGATTCCATGAAGGGAAGTTTCCAATAGATGAAAGTACTTTGAGGATATGTGTCAGGTTCAAGGGAAACTCCAGTCCCCAATTTCTAATGCCCATTTTCCTCTCATACTGGCCATTCCTCATCAACCTCCTAAGGGACAGAAGACTATCTGTGGTGTCTATTGGCGTACCTAGGCACATGCTGGACCCAGGCTCACCCAGTACCTGTGACTCTTCTCAGGTCTTCTCACCCTTCCCCTAGACTAAACTTCTCCAGCTCATGGACTTCCCTTCCAAAGCTCCTCATTTCTGTACAGCCCTGCCCTTTTGACCATACACTTTCATTTTGCTCTCTCTTTCATCTTCCTCTTTTGGTTTTCTGAAGCAAGATTAATAAAAACTCAGAGATAGAGATTGGGTTTCAACCGGAAGACCAGAAAAGCAAAGAAGCCAGCCACTGGTTCTTATCTCGACCTCAGTTTGAAAATGGTGATTCTGCCTCCAGGAAACCTGAGAATGAGACTGAGCCTGAGAGCTTTCTCCTCCCATTTTATAATCCTCTTTAGTTCTGGGATTAAGGGCATGTAACACTACTGTCTGGTTTCTAAGGCAAACTAAAAAAAAAATGGCTAAAAAAAAGAAAGAAGAGAAAAAGGAGGGTAGAAGACAGGCCCTGCCAAGACAGGTGGGGAAGACAGATGGGCAAAGATGGCCAACACAACAACAATCTGTTTCCAGATCCAGTGCTTTGTGTTGGTCCACCCCAACATCTACTTCATCTAAGAGCTTCTGGATCACGCAAAGGAGCTAGTACTGCAGACCAAGGTCTACAGGAAAACCATGACCTTGTCAACAGCACGATATCCAGGAGGAATCTCAGTAATGAGTCAGTATCTGTGATGTGTAAGAAGCCAGAAACATAGAACCAGACCAACAGCTTATTGCAATGAATAGTTGCATGTATAGCTGTTTGAGCAAAAAATATTCTTTGTGACACTGCAGTTTCCAATGACACTATGACAAATTGGTATATGATGCAGAAGTGGGAAAGATGAAGGAACAATGTGGTGGGTGTTTGGTGGAGAGAGGCAGAAGCAGGGACACCACAGCTGTGACAGGTGTGAGAGATGCTGTGATTGATGCAGGAACCTATAGATGCCCAATAGGGTCGGCAGGATGGTGTCCAGAAGCCTGGAGTGTGTGCAGTCTCAACCCCCCAGCAAGCTGCTCAGCTGCAAAATTTCCCTGGCTATGAGTGATGACAGGATGTCTGAGATATAGAAGAGATCGTTTTCTGGATCAGTCCTCCTTGAAAGGCCTCCATGGTCCATTCTCTCAGGGGCTGTGTTGGTATTGGTGGTCAGTGCTGCTGCCCCAGGCACTGATGAAACCTGAGGTCAATGTAGATGTCTGTGGTGTGTGCTGCCACCTGAAGACATTTTGATGTCTGTGGTCCATGCTGTGGATGCAGGCCATGTTTGCGTCATTGATCCTACAGCAGCAAGGGGTTGTGTTGACATCTGAGGCCCATGTTACCACTGAAGGCCATGTGGATGTGCATTGTCTATGCAACTGTCTGAAGCACTGTCTGTTGACATCCATGTCCCTGAGCCCTCAGAGGGCCATGTTGATGTTGGTGTCCTCTGTGTTCACCTGAGGCCATGTTGATATCCATGGTTTATCCTGTTGCTGAGAGCTATGTCTGGGTCATGGTCCTGATGTGGCTGGGGATATGTTGATTAACATAGGTCATGTTACCACCTAAGACCTTCAGGGATATCAATAGTTAGTGGCATTGCCAACAGATATGTTGATTTCTGTGTACTGTGCTGCTGTGGAGGGCCATGTTGATGTCTCTTTGAAGTCTCCTGGGGTCATGTGGATGTCTGTTGTCTGTGCCATTACCAGAGGCCATGTTGATGTCCATGGGCCTGGATGTCACTGTGGTCCATAGTGATGTTCATGGCACATGTTACCCCAGAGGCCATGTTGACAACTTTGGCCTGTGCTGCTGATAAAGACTGTGATGATGTCTGTGCTCTGTGCTTCAGCAGAGGGCCATCCTGTTGTCTGTTGTCTGCACTCCCACAGGACATCAAGAGGAAGTTCTTGAAAAGCGCTGAGTCCGTAGACCAGGTGGATGTTCCTAGTCAGTGCTATTGCCAGAAACCAAGTAGAAGCCTATGATTCATGATCCCACTGACTGTAAAGGGCAAGGAAGCTACTTTTTACAGTGATAGTAGCTACTGCAGATTCACGGTTTTGAAACAGGAACATTGAAGTTTCTGTGACAACCCCTACCATCACTGTGTTACATCAAAATGTAACAGCATAGTAAAAAAAATAATAAAGTATACTTCTCTAAAATTGATGATGTCTTGTAGGGGTGCAGGTGGAGAAGGTCTCAGTTTCCTTTAAGGGAATGACCACTGGGAGTTTGACCATGCTCCAGTAGTACATGGGCAATAGAAATTGAACTCAAATTTTTTTCCTTTCCTTATTTTTTCTTCCTTCTTTCCTTCCTCTCTCTCTCTCTCTCTCTCTCTCTCTCTCTCTCTCTCTCTCTCTCTCTTTCTTTCTTTCTTTTTTGGTGGAATAGGTTACAAGGATGGGGGATGATCATGCAGGGACTAAGAAATCAGTGTGATTGGGTTGCATTATGGAAAATTTCAAATAATTGATACAAATACTACGTTGGGAGAAAAGAAACTTACTTGAGGAGTCAAGAGTAATAGATTGTCGTTTTTAATTTCACGATATTTCTCCTGGAGGACATAAAATGTTAAATAAATCTTATAATGTAAGAAAGGACCAGGCAGGAAAATGTAGCTATCCCTCCACTCCACAACAAAGAGGCAGGTGCTTTCTGTTGTGACTATTGGTATCAGGTCAAACTGCCAAAGACATTTTATTGACAGTGAAGCCACATCTGGAATCTTGACACAAAAAATTGTCACTAATATATTTACAGTAAAAAAAAAAAAAGCCTGTTTCCCACAGACAGCCACTAAAGTAGATAGTCTCCAA